TCCCAGCTTGCCAACTGATCCCGGGGGAGCCAGCCCCTGGACACAGCTCTCTTTGTGACCTCCTCCCCTCGCCCCTCCTACCTACATTATTAAACGGGGAGGCTTAATGGAGAATCTTAGGAGCAGGAGCAAGAGCAAGATAACGGTCCTTTAGCTTGTTTTCTGACACACGCTGACGGCTGCTTCGGTACAAAGAGGCGCGTGAATTCAGACAGAGGCCGGTGAGAGGGCTGAACAGCTGGGCTTTATTTTTCCGAAAGGAATTTAAGTAGGGACTAATTAGGAAAGGGAAGGTGACGCGTGGGGAAAATCGCTCCTTACCGTTAAGAGGGTTAAGTCAGGAGGTTGATTATACTCTTCTGATCACGTGGGAAACACAAGATGAGCCCCACTCGTTTTATTAGAATCAGCATATCCCTTACTTCTTACAGATGAAGTTTCTTTTCTTTTTTGTTTTTAAGTTTACTTGTTACTTATTTTTGAGAGAGAGAGAGGGAGACAGAGAGAGAGGGAGACAGAGACTCCCAAGCAGACTCTGCACTGTCAGCACAGAGCCCGACACTTAAGTTTACTTGTTATTTATTTTTGAGAGAGAGAGAGAGGGAAGGGGAGGGGCAGAGAGGGAGGGAGACAGAGACTCCCGAGCAGACTCTGCACTGTCAGCACAGAGCCCGACACAGGGCTCGATCCCACAAACCCTGAGATCAGGACCCGAGCTGAAACCGCGAGTCAGACGCTTGGCCGACTGAGCCACCCAGGCGCCCCAAGATTCCTCAGAGTTTCAACGTCATCAGAACAGACCTCAGGAAGCGTTTGGAAACAGGTCCACGGCGCTCCCTGACCTCCAGGGAGGGAAGATCTGACCAGACCCTCTTACCTGCACCCTAGTTTGGTGACAAGCAGCGAATACGTAAGATCAGAACAACTTAAGGGTCCGATCTTTCTGCTGCGTCCCAAGTCACCAGCACACATTTCCCACCTCGCCGCCCCCTCGTTTTCCCAAGGTTTGGTCATTCTGGGTGCCCGTAACCAGACTCCACATTCCCTGAAGGCCGGGTTTACATTTCTGCGAACGACGAGGCGACTGCTCTCGAAGCACTAAGATTCTGACTCGCCAGCAAGATAACGTTTCCCCATGATAACAATTAGGAGAGTTGCTTTAATTCCCCGACGTGGCCACCGAAGCAAAAGCGAAAGCACGAGGAAGGAACCCTGTGATGCAAGCTGTTGGGGAGCAGGGGTGTCTTCCCGTTTCCCTGGCTTTTGTCCTCCTGGGTCCCCTCCCTGGAAGGCGGCTACCTGCCGGGCCCAACCCCGCCCGGTGGGAGGAGGACCCACGAGGGCTGACTAACCCACAGGCCCCACCCCGAGCACTTAGACAGGAATTGGGGCCCAGGGGGCATCTGGGTCCCTCGTGGCTGGCTTTGGGGATTCCAGCACAGCCTTCCTGCTGCAGAATCTGCACCAGCTCTAAGTCTGACTTCATGAAGGCCAAGGCTTACTTGCTGGGTTTTGTTCCCTTGGCGTCTCAGTTTCTGTGCTCGGAGCCTGACTTCCTCATCCGCCCAGGGGGGCTCCGGACCCCACAGGCTTCCTGTGAGCGTCCACCCCAGCTGGTTATTAGCCACAGGCATGGCCCCTCCCCAGGCCCCAGGCGGAGCTCCGAGCTGTGGCAAGAGGCCGGCTGGCTTCACTAGATGACTCACTTGCAAGTAAGTGAGTTAAAGCCCAGTGAGTCTTGGAGGGGGTTTTCAGGATGTACTGGCCGGACTGTCCTCCATCTGCTCCTCCCCAGGAACTTGGTGGAAATGCTCAGGCTCCTCCCTCCCCCAGAAGCCCCCAGGGACTCTGCCAGGGCCCAGGGGGATACCCAGTGCTAGGTGGGCACTGAGTGGGATGTGAGTGTAGGAGTGGGATGCAGGGGTGGGGTGCAGAAGTGAGTGCAGGGGTGAGTGCAGAGGGAGGATGCAGGGGTGGGATGCAGGGATGACTGCAGAGGTGAGTGCAGGGGTGGGAGGCAGGGGTGACTACAGGGGTAGGATGCAGGGGTGGGGTGCAGAGGTGAGTGCAGGGGTGGGAGGCAGGGGTGACTGCAGAGGTGAGTGCAGGGGTGGGAGGCAGGGGTGACTGCAGGGGTGGGTGGGGTGCAGAGGTGACTGCAGGGGTGGGATGCAGGCAGGGGGCCTCCGATGACAGGTTACAGTCGGGGCAGGCTTTTATCCCACAGGGACTCGGGGGCGTCCCCTCCGGATCATGTCTACTTGTCACAGTTCCTTCCTTCAGCCACCTACATGGCGCAAAAGCCCCATTTATCGTGCCTGTGTGAGGGGCCCCTTGGGAATGACGCCTCGTAAAGGAGGGGCGTTCAGGAGGGTGACGGTCTGGAAGTCGGTGTTTATCATAATTCCCACCCAGTGACGGTGCCATTGAAGGGCTCGGGGTCAGTTTCCCTGTGACGGTGGCTGCAGCGTAAGCCCCGGAATCCTGGAGCCTGTTGGGGGGAAGCTAAGCAGCTGTGTTGTCCCCCCAGCCGCCCACCTGACACGGCCGCGGGGGACCCACAGGCCGCCCGCACAGGTGTGAGAGCCCACACTGTGCCACTCCTCCAGGGACGAGGGGTGGGTGGGGGCTCGCAGGGAGTCTGTCTGGGGGTCTGGAGCCCCATCTGCAGGTCGAGGGAGGGCATCCAGCGTGTCTGACCGGGACGCGGTGACATTTCGGGGGGAGCTGTGGGCTTGTGCTGTGGAGACGACCGACTGTGAGATTCAAGGTCGAGCATCCAGGTGGGGCCGAGCAGGTAGATAGAGTCCCCGTGCTGGACAACCTGTCCCTGAGGAGTTTGGCTCGACGTGTGCAGGCCCTGTCGAATCGAGGGCAGGGACATGGGCATATCCGAGTTTGTGGGTGCCAACGCAGGAGACCCCGGGGCGCCTGGGGGGCTCCGTCGGTTAAGCATCTGACTCTTGATTTCAGCTCAGGTCATGATGTCATTGATCTGTGCTAAGCATGAGCCTGCTTGAGATTCTCACTCTCTGCCCCTCCCCCACCTGTGTGTGCACCTGTGTGTGTGTGTGTGCGCGCGCGCGCGTGCACGTGTGCACATGCTCTGTCTCAAAATAAACATTTTAAATGGATAAATGAACTTATTTATTTTGAGAGAGCGAGCGAGAGGAAGGGGGGTAGGAAGGGACAGAGAGAGAGGGAGAATCCTTGCTGACCCCGCAGAGCCGAAATCTCATGAGCCATGATGAAGACCTGAGCCGAAATCAAGAGTCAGACGCTTAACTGGCTGAGCCACCCAGGCGCCCTGTAATATTTAAAAAAATTTTTTTTAATGTTTATTTATTTTTGAGAGAGTGAGAGACAGACTGTGAGCAGGGGAAGGGGCAGAGAGAGGGAGACCCAGAATCCGAAGCAGGCTCCAGGCTCCGAGCTGTCAGCACGGACCACGAGATCGTGGGCTCGAACCCACAGACTGCAAGATCGTGACCTCAGCCGAAGTCGGCCGCTTAACTGACCGAGCCACCCAGGCGCCCCGTAGTTTTTTAACAAGAAGAACGTGTTTATAAATTACTTGTGTCGTAACTAACCAAAGACATACAGCCGTTCCAGGGCGGGATGCGGGGCAAACGTGGGGAGAAATGCGAGTTTCGAGGGCAGAGGCTGTCGTGGTGTGTGGGTCCAGCGTGGGCAGCAGCACGGAGAGCACGTACGGGAAAGGCAGCACGTGGGGGGTGTGGAGGCTGTGCCCTGATGTGCAGCGTCTGAGGGTCTGGAGGACCGAACAGCTGTTAATCCATAGGTCCTCAAACGGGGTTCGACCGGGAAGTGATGGCTCGCAGATGTGCACGTGTCCATGGACGTGTACGTTTTACGTGTGCGTTAAACGTGGACTTATTTCTAAGGTCTGGGCCCCATGCTCGTCCAGCCACGTGACTACTGTAGCCTTTGAGAGCCGACAGCCGTGTTCTCGGGTCTCAGACGTGGCTCAGCTGTGACCATCTCTGCCTGTCTTCTGGGTGGCTTTGCCCACCCAGTATGTACGAATTTCGTGTCCGTGTCTGTAACGCTCCTGGGAGCCAGGTGCCTTCCGTGTATTACCAGGGGTGGCCTTTCCTGCGTGGCCCGTGTTCTCCAGCCTCTGCAGTCCTGACATTTGTGTCTGAAACGTGAGTTAGCGGGGGAGGCAGGGGAGCGACCCGGTGTCCCGCATGTCGGCTAGGAGCCGGGAGCTGCCTGTTCGAGGCCTGGGACCGACTGTCCCCTCCCGAATCCTGGCCTCGCGGGCCGGCCTCTTAGTGATGACACAGGGTTTGCAGTTTCCTGTTCCCTCTGCTCTCCCCAGGGCTTACCCGGCCCAGGTGCGCCGCTCAAAAGTGGGGCTCCCGTGGAGAGCGAGTCGGGGCGTCGTGAGAGCACGAGGCTGTGTCGCACAAAACCGCTTTAATCCCCTTTAGGTAGTGTCCTCTGGGCAAGTGTGGAGCATGTCCGAGATTTATCTTGAGGAGGTATTTATTCATACCGTATTGGTCTGGCTTTTCTTTTAATAAACGGCGTGACTTAGTTTGAATTTAAGGCCCTTCACTGAGACATTCTTTACACTGCCAGCTGCTAACGAAATAACGATTTCCCTCCTCCGGTCGCAGAGGCAGCCCTCGTCCGTGTCAAGTTGAGTCTGTCTAACTACAGATAAGCCCCGGTCTCTCTGCTGTCTCGCCGATGGGCTGTGTTGCCTACCAACTCCTCCGGGCCGGGGTCCCGCCTCTGTCTGCGGTGACCGTCAGGGTGCCCCGGGCTCTCGGACAGTGACGCGCCCCGGCCGTGTGCCCTCAGCGCACCGGCCGCCTGGCCCTGACCCCGGACGTGCACGCCAGGCCCGTCGTCCGTGTGAGGAGCCCGCCGCACGGGCTCGTGGGTCCCCCATGGTCACAGCGGGTTAAATGGCAGCACGCGAATCGCCACAGTCTGGTCACTGACTCTGTCCCCTTCCTTCCGCAGGTATGAATGCTGCTGTCCGTGCTGTGGTGCGCATGGGAATATACGTGGGGGCCAAGGTGTACTTTATCTATGAGGTCAGTGTTGCGTCTCCCTCCCGCTTTCTCTGACTCGGGGACCCGTGCCTCACGCTTGCCCGGGCGCTGTTGACCCAACACGAGATGACGGGTGGTGGGCACGGCCCTCAGGCCACAGCAGGGCCCCGTGTGCAGGGAGGGGGGGGGG